GATGTACTTTATTTTAGGACATTCTGGCGCTGTACTTTATTTTAGACTTTTAGTTATTTAGTTGTTGTTGTTGTGGCGGTATAAAATATTCTTTAAAAAGTCGAGTTGATGGCGCTTGGATTGTTATAAAGCCGGCTCTCTTAGAGTGTTGAAACCTGAATTTCGTGTAAGCACTTTGGAGTTGATACATTTCATAAATATGTTAGAAAATTTAAAACGAGCGTTTCGCCTTTTTTTTATTAAACATATTTCATGCTTTTAGACTCAATAATAAAAGTTACAATATATGAGTATAAATAAGAAAGAAAGACATTAAATCTGTATAGCAGCGATATGCTATTGTAGTCCGATCTGTACAATATATTCAGAGATTGTAGCGTTTCTTTGGAAAATAATTTACGCCAAATTTTGTGAAGATACCTTGTCAAATAAAAAAGTTTTCCATACCAGGACTTGAGTTTGAACGAGCAGTTTCTATGGCAGCTATATGCTATAGTGCTCCGATCTGAATAATATCCATGGAGTTGGTACCGCTGTCTAGGGTAATGATCCATGCCAAATTTCATGAGAATATCTGCTCAAATCAAAAAGTTTTCCATACAAGGACTTAAGTTTTATCGATGAGATTGTATGACAGCTATATCACTTGATGGTCCAATATAGACGTTTCGCACAAATGTGCAGAAAATTTTTAGAGAGAAAAGCAGATGTGCACAATTTCAGAAGGTTATACTAAAAACGGTGGAACTAGTTCACGCAGAGAACTTAAATGAATTCATGAATTCATGAATTCATGAATTCATTTAAGTTCTCTGGTTCACGTATATACAGATATACGTACATGACTAAATCGACTCAGCTTATTATGCTGATAATTTATATATGTATGTATATATATATATATATATATATATTTATTTATTTATATCTATTTATCTATATATAATTCATATATATATTTTTTTATAAGATCTTTGACGTTTCCTTCTAGGGGTGTTACAAGCTCTGTGGCAAGTTAAATATATCTTGTTTAGAATATAAAACTTATTCGCTGCTTTAGTTCAAAAGCTCTTAAAAATCGTATATAATTTTCCTTTTGCTGCATAAACGGAGAATTTTCATTAATATAATATATATAAATATATTAAATATCCGTGTGTATTTCAGTTATTGGGGAATAACTTTTTCAGAATGTTGCAAAAAATTTCGCAATAGATGTCGTTGTGGTAGAAAAAGTTATAAAATTCTTATTTACAGTTCGATTTGAGCCATATATGGACTGAAGTTTGTTAAAGTAGAAGGAGTAGTATAAAATACTATAAAAATACCACACAATTTATACACCTAAAGAAATTTGTTGTGTGATAAAGTGTAGCTACGATCCTAATTCGTACGCGAAGTTACAATATCTTTGAAGTACTCAACTTTGAAATCATACAGTGTTATCAAAACTTACAAATTATTCGGTCAACTAATTACAGCTTGTAAGAGAAAAGCTTACAGCCGCCTTACGACACCCGAAAGCGGTTCACTGTTGCAGTGTTTGCATCTGTAGCGACAAATTAGTGCATGTTTAGTTGACGCGTCGCACTTCCTCTCCGCTCCCCTTCACACACTGCCGCCTAAAAAGTCAGACACACATTTATTATTTACATTTATGAATTGTTCAATTGTTTAGCAAGTCTCATTAAGGCATGTATGTACATGCATACAAACACATAAATGAGGTTAAAAATATAACAATGCACAGAGTGAGAGCAAAGCGCTCATGTGGCGAAGTAGTAGGTAGCGCTGTTTGTCGCCCTCGTTGATATAGTGATAAGGAAATCAATGACAAATAAATGCCGTTCGATTGTGGTAACATATTAAGACACACAAATGCAAACAAATTAATACAAATTTCATATATATATATATGCATGTGTATATGTGTTGCTACAATCTCGCACAGTGCCACAACTTCGGCAGACTGAAATGCAGACCGCCGACCGCCAGCAACTCTCATTTTGTACCTTAGCTGCACATTGCTAGCGTTTTGCATGGCCACTTCAGTTACAAATATCGGCGGCCGGTGTGTTGTTGTCGGCGTGAGCAGGAAGCAAAGGGGTCGTAAGTCGTCGGTGTGATCCTAATAGCGGTGATTTGGAGCGCAGTGTTTACCAAATGCATGCAAATGTAACTCGGCACAGATAACAATGTGAAAACTTGTTTTTTCTCACATATTGTTTGTATGCATGCGCGCGTATATAGTGCAGTGGCGTAAATAAAGTGTGAAATAAAATTAAACAAATTTATTAAAGACTGACTTTAATGTGTATAAAATTTAATGGAAGTCGCAGAATATTTAGTGGAAATTTAAAAATCGAAATCAGTCCGAATTCTATATAGATTTTCTTCTTCTTGTTGTTATCGTCGTTATTAACTGCATGCACATACATGCAAACGCATAGATTTTATGCCAAAAAAAATTCAGCAAGGCCGTAAAACGCTTATTTTTTAACTAACTCGTGCTAAGGCTCGCCTCGCCGGTTACAAATGTTTAACTATAAGTACCTACCATACCTACCGTACCATTGATTTGTGTGAATTATGTATGTGCGTGCCTATCTGTGTATAGCACTTTGGCTATGTGTGTGTTTAGTTGATAAGATGGGGGTACAGGCGCTATTTTCATTTCAAGCGGCTATTGATTCTATTATTTCATGCTAAATTATACAGTATTGTGCATTGGAGAACTTTGACTGAAAGTAATTTATATATGCAGTAGCTTATATAATATATTTATATATATTTATAACTAAAAATTTATTCAATAAAATTTTCGTGCAAACTTTACTTTGGATCTGTGAATAAAATGCCTTGCCTGTAATAAATTCAGTGAGATTTATTGTGGTTAAATTACGCTTGCGTCCATTTTTCTTTTTTTATTAGTGTGGTTTTTTTTTTTTTTTTGTTATTTTATGGCATTAATTTTTTTTATAACAGGCTAATCGGTACACTTTATAAGTAATCATTTCCGCGCATTTCGTAATATAATTTTATTAGAATATATAAATAATTTTATATAAGGATACTAAAGTGATTAATATTTTCAAAAATTTAAACAAAACAAAAAACCAAATTGAAAAAATATGATAAAAATATAATTTTTTTTATTTCTCTTTAAATTAACTAATATTGCATAAGTAATATTCTTAAAATAATAAATAATTATAAAATTCAAAAAAAAAAAATAAATAAATTTAAAAAAAAATAACAAAAAAAGTTAACTATACGTAAAAAAATCAAATAGAAAATCAAAAATTAAAACAAATAAAAAAGTAAACAAAAAAAAAAACAATAAAAAGCAGTAAAAGTAATACCTTTCAAATACAAAAGACTCTTTACAAGAACTTTGATCGCACAGTTTGTATGCCAGCTAAATGCTATAGTGATCCAATCTGAACAATTTCTTCGGAGGTTGCATCGTTGCCTTGGACAATAACCCATGCTAAATTTCGTGAAGATATCTAATGTAAAAGTTTTCCATACAAGAATTTGATTCCGATGGTTTAGTTTGTATGGCAGTTATATGCTATAGTCGTTCGATATCGGCTTTTCCGACTGCTCTGCTTCTTGGGGAGAAAAGGACGTTTGTAAAATTTCAGATCGATATCTCAAAAACCGAGCAACTAGTTCGCGTATAAAAAGACAGACGGTCAGGCGTACATAGCTAAATCAAATCAGCTCGTCATGTTAATCACTTATATATATATTTTATAAGAGTCTATGAGGAAATCTGAAACGTTTGGAGCGATCGAAGTCGATTTAGAAATAAGATTTTTTGTTAATTTTTATTTTTATTTTTACCATTATTTGCTTATATTAATATTTTAATTTTATTTTTTTTTTTTATTGTTCTGTGGTTTTATAATATTCAGTTTTATAAATAATATTTGTGATAATACTTTAAATTTTTAAAGCCATTCCGTAGTGTAAATTTTTTCACCAAAAATCGACATTATTTTTGGGAAGCCGCCATTTTTGTCAAAAATCAAAAGTTTGACTACTAGTTCTATGAAAATTACTTGTATTCATTTATAATAATAAATATTTTGGAAGCATTTTCCTCAATGCCAAACAACTTTTTTCGAGGGTCCTCCTGGTGATCGGCTACTGAATCCAATATTTTACAAAATTAATAGCTTCTTATTAAAGTACATGAAATTTTGTAATAGCACGTTTATTTATTTTATCTTTAACTATTTGTTGTATAAACTGTCTCTTCTTAAACAAAAAAAAAATTACAAAAAATTGCGTTTTTTTCTGATTTTCAAGGGGATATCACCTCTTAAGATAAACATTAAAAATTTCCCAGACGATTTGAACCACATGAGGTGCACTTGAACGCGCCTCTTGGGTGAAAGCCACTACATATTATATTATATTATACTCTAGATTGTATATATTTTTTTTTATGTGCGCTACTGTCTTTTTATTAACTAATTTATGCATTTGTATTGAAGAAGGAAGTTGACAATTTGACAGTTTAATTAATACTGAGTCAATGTATAGGATATAAACTCTTCAAACTCATAATCTCTAAAGAGGGAATGGGGTTGATCTTCAAGTATAGAGCTGAATAAAAAAATTGTTTCATAAATTAATTATTTCGATTGGTGAATGCGTTAAAAGTCTCACAGCGAGACCGCACGCTCGTTCTACACGTCGCTGTTACTTTATGCTATAAGTTAAATTTTTATGTTTTATGCTTTAAGTAGCAATTCGGCGCACTATGAGCTAGTAAATTATTACTAGTATTTTTTTTCTTTGAAATTTTTTTCACTAAGATTATAAGCAACAATAATAAGCTGTGGAAGCGTGTGCTCTCTAATTATAAAAATATATGCTTTAAAATACATATATAGTTACTATAAATTGAAACAAAATTGCAAAAAAAAAAGAAATTATTTTTAAATTTTTAATAAATATTACTCTCGCTCTCTCTTCACGTTTTACAGTATTTCCAAATGTACCTTCTGCACCTGGCCTGTCCTGTGATGGCGAAGATCGTAAGTCCAATGCACACATAGTGTTGATGTTGTTGTATATTTTTTTTATTGACATAACTGTTAATTAATCTAATTTGCATTACACCACTTTCCACGCACTTGCAGGCAGCATCTACAGACGTGGCGCACGCAGATGGCGCAAACTATACCGAGTCAACGGACACATTTTCCAAGCCAAACGTTTCAATCGAGTAAGTACACAAGAAAAAGCGATAATAACACTAATTGATGATTATTCTTATTGCCAATCCACAGCGCGCCTTCTGCGCTTACTGTCAGGATCGCATCTGGGGCTTGGGACGGCAAGGTTTCAAGTGCATACAATGCAAATTGTTGGTGCACAAAAAATGCCATAAACTCGTACAGAAGCACTGCACCAACGAACATGTGGAGCCGTTAGTCAAGGAGCGTGATGACGCTTTCGCCGAACAGCTGCCGCAGGTGTTGCCACCACTACCTGATTATGCGTCGCAGGCGAGTGGCAGTGGACATGGTGGCATGGTGGATGTCTGTGATCCGTTGGCAGCGCTCGAACTACAGTCGCATGATGGTCAATTGCAACAGCAATCCCAACAACATCAGAATATCGAAGAACAATTGGAGCCGGGCACACAGCGGCAATATTCCATAAACGATTTCGAATTGATACGCGTCATTGGACGTGGCAGCTATGCTAAGGTCTTGATGGTCGAACTCAAGAATACTGGTCGCATTTATGCGATGAAAGTGATTAAGAAAGCGCTTGTAACCGATGATGAGGACATCGATTGGGTGCAAACGGAAAAGCATGTCTTCGAGACAGCATCGAATCATCCGTTCTTGGTCGGTTTGCATTCATGCTTCCAGACACCGTCACGGCTCTTCTTTGTGATTGAGTTTGTGCGCGGCGGTGATCTTATGTTCCATATGCAACGACAACGTCGTCTACCCGAGGAGCATGCGCGCTTCTATGCGGCAGAAATCAGTTTGGCATTGAACTTTTTACACGAGAAAGGCATCATTTATCGTGATTTGAAGTTGGATAATGTGCTGCTCGACCATGAGGGTCACATTAAGTTGACCGATTACGGTATGTGTAAGGAGGGTATACGTCCCGGTGATACGACCTCTACCTTCTGCGGCACACCCAATTATATAGCGCCAGAGATATTGCGTGGCGAAGACTATGGTTTCTCAGTGGATTGGTGGGCGTTGGGCGTGCTATTGTACGAGATGTTGGCCGGTCGCAGTCCATTTGATATAGCAGGTGCATCGGAGAATCCCGATCAGGTAAGTGCTTGGTATTTTCATTTAAATTTTTAAAATTGCTTATGTTTTTTTTTCTTTCATTTACGCAGAACACTGAAGATTATCTATTCCAAGTGATTTTGGAAAAGACCATACGTATACCGCGTTCGCTGAGCGTCAAGGCCGCATCTGTATTGAAAGGTTTCCTTAATAAAAATCCAGCTGATCGCTTGGGTTGCCATCGTGAGTCCGCTTTCATGGACATTGTGAATCATCCATTCTTCAAGAGTATCGACTGGGAAATGGTAAGCGAAATAGTAGCTAATCTATAATCTAATATTGGTTTCGCAATGCGAGTTTAGCAAAATTTCGAATTGCTGTGAGCAGTTGAGTCTGCGCATACTGTTGAGAAGAAACCTAAAACGAATTGCATGTGTGAAAATTGATGATTATAGTGCAATATACTTATATATATACGTACATATGTATAGTTATTAGATGACGTTTTTATGTACTGAAAAAACAAAAAAATATTCCGCTTTACTTTTTAACTGGACATATATTCGAGAGGCCGAAGTTGAGCAAGAAGTCAGCAGAAACAAACTGTTTTTAAGGCAGTAACGGTGCAAAGATTCTGAATTCGAAATTCAATACGAAAAATTCAGCACCAAAAATCTTTTCAATTCGAAATTCAATACAAAAAATTCAGCACCAAAAGCCGTTTCAATTGAAATTCAATACCAAAAATTCAGCGCCAAAAATTCGAAATTCTATACAAAAATCGTATATGATAATTCGAAATTCAATATTCCCTTTAAAGCTTAGAAAACAAAATACGCGCCTTTCCCTCGTTTCTCAGTGTTTCTTTATATTCAAAATTAACTATGCCAAGTTTTTATTTTATTTGAATGTTGAAAAAAAAAAACAATATTAAATATATACCACTAAGATCGCACAAAAGGAAGTACAACCACCATATAAGCCAACATTTGATCCTGGCGATCCATATATGGCCACAAATTTCGATACGCAATTTACTAGAGAAGCAGCCGAGCTGACGCCAGATGATCCGTAAGTGTTTTTAATGGCTCCTGTGAGGTGGTATATGCGCTTGTCATATATTTTTTTTACATATTTGTTTTTTAAATTTTATTTTAACTTTTTGTGATAAAATATAAGTTTTTTTTTGTTAAACTGATTTTCTATGTGTATAAGCAATACTCGTATTTAAATATCAAAATTAATTTCAAGTTTGTTAAACCAAGTGATTGTGTAAAACTTTATGCGATAAAATTAAACTAATTTTTTTTTTATAAATCTAATTATAAATGTTTTAATTATCTTCACTTCTTTGTCTACTTTGCGCTCAACTATCTTAATGTGCCTAAGAAGCAAGATAATAGAAAATAAAATTTTGATTTAATTTTTTTTTCTGTTTTCATATTGAAAATATTTTATTTATTAAATAAAATTCTTAATTTAATATTTAAATTTTTTATTATATAAAATTCTTAATTTAATATTTAAATTCTTTATTAAATAAAAATATTATTTTAATAATTGAAATTTTTTTATTTTGTTTTTGTTGTTTTATTAATAAAAAAATTATTTTAAAAATTAAAGAAAAGTTTTAATAACTGCATGCTGCATTTTATTAATGTAAACAAATTGCCCTTGTTATCATTTTAACACAATTTTCTACTTAAACCACAAATAAAATTTACTATTCTTTCTTTGACAAATTAAAAATAAAAGCAATTAAAATAAATTAATTAAAATAACCACTAAGTCGATCCAAGTTTAAAAAAATGTACTTTCCTTTAAAATATATGTGTATGTCATACTTTACCTCTCCTCGTCAACTTATATAGTATTGCGCCTGAAGGTATACTTATATTAAGCAAGGATTATCAAATTATCGCACTACAAACGTTTTTTGCGGCATCTCTTAGAGAGCGCCTCCGCTCTTTGAAAATATGTATTTTAAGGGTTATATCCACTTGCAAGTCCGCAGAGTTTTTTTTAAGTAATTTTATTTTATTTATCAATAGTTAAGTGTGCATTTACAGATTCACAGTAAATTCTTTTCTAATCGGCGATTCAGTTTGAAAAATTTTGTATACCCTTGACACCGTAGCCGATTCCAGGTGAACCTCCGAAAAAAAGGTGACTGGCGATGCGGTAGATTCTTGTGCTTAAAATTATCACAAATCCAAACACCAAAAAAATGTATTATATAATAGCTGAATATAGGTAATGTTCGAAGAACTGGTTAAGAATTTGATTTTTGACAAAATAGCGGTTTCGAAAAAAATACCGTTTTTTTGTAAAAAAATTACACTTCGGAGTGGCTTAAAAAATCAAAATTGTTATTAAAAATCTTTTGCAAAAATATCTAAGAAGGTCGTGTGAAAATTTCAAGTTGAAATTCACAAGTAGATTTAACCCCTTAAGGTATATTTATATGAAGCAAGCATTCATTCATTGCGTCATTTTTTAAGCGCTCTCCTTTATTTGAAAACTTTTATTTAAGGTAATATTTACATTACATTTTTTCAACTGCGTTCTAAAATCCAAAATATAATCATCATTATTTCACAAATGCATTTGAGACACTTCTCATAAGAAAGAAAAACGAAAAAAGCATTAAAATATACAAATGTCTACGCTAAGCTTAAAAACTGTCTAATTTTTTATATATAATTTTAGTAAAAAAAAAATTAAATTTCAATAAAAAAAACTACAATTATTTTCATCGGCAAAAACATATGTATTTTTTGACTGTTTTCCATGAAACAGAATTCTATTCAATCGAGTCTCAATTTCGAAATTTATGACTCGCTGCTAAACTCTACATAATTTATTTGTATTATTTTGCCACTAATTGCCTTTAATTTGGTTTACTTTTTTTCCGCCTACGACTTTCTTTCTGCGCCACACAAACCATCTAACTCAATTGGAAATATCACGTGATACACACATCGAATATCAATTTCTTCCAACTAAACATCGTTTTAACCATCCATAATTCATTCAACTATGCAATCCATCATTAATTGGCACTCACTAAATGCATTTGCTATTGCGAAAATGGGGTGCAATTGTAGCTCGAACGCAAACAAGTTTCGCCACCATTCAAACCACGCTTAGACTCTGACCGAGATCTAGCCAATTTCCCACCCGAATTCACAGAGGAAGCGGTGCAGCTGACGCCCGATGATGAGTAAGTAGCTTAATTTTCGTTGGATTTTGGTGTAAACACGAATTTTTTTTGCCTTTTCTCTGTTTTACTAATTAAAGTAGCATTTTTTGTTTTATTTAGTTTTTAAACACATCTCATTGTCATAATTTATCCTCAATTGTTATTATATGCGCCTAATAATATATATTATATTTTTTAATGTTTTTTTCGCAGTCGCGTCATTGATAAGATAGATCAATCGGAGTTCGAAGGATTCGAATATGTGAATCCGCTGCTGATGTCCTTGGAGGATTGCGTCTGACACCACGAGTCATGTGATTTGCATCCCTATAATATGCGTGTAGGTGTACGCTTTTATACTACGCACTTGCTTCCACAATTATTGTCAAAATTTGTTTATAATCTCATTGCTCATTGCAGTTGTATGGCGAGGACTCCAGTGATTATGACTCAGTAGCTGATGATTTAAGTATTTTGCAATTGCACGCACCGCCGCCAACAACCGCTAATAATAATCTAACGAATCTTCGTATGCAGCAGCAACAACAACATTTACAACAACATCACCAACAGCAACAGCAGCAGCAGCAGCAGCATCTACAAATGCCGCCACTAAATCAGAATCCCAATCATAGTCAGAATAATCATCATAACGGTAACAATAATAATCATAATCATAATTCCAATAATAATAAAAGTCTACTGCAGCACATGTTTTGCCTTCCATTAAATTAAAATAAACAAGAAAATTGCAAAAACAAGAAAAAAAAAGCATAAAAATAATGAAAACAGTAAATCATAAATCAATAAGGACAAGCGTAAAGTGAAAGTAAACATTAAAGATGCAAGTAAAAGAACCAAAAAAAAAAAAACAAAAAAATATAAAATAAACTGCAACAAAACAGCTAGAGCGGATGCAACACTAACAAAACATACGAACAAGTTGTGACAACAACCATAGCGCAGCAATCACAACAACAACACTTGCTACTACAGCCACTAATATACAACAACAACTATTTGTATACGTATTTGGTGTGCTTGTGTGTAAGTGTAAGGCAGGCAGCAATTAGGGTGGTCGAAAGGTGATGGAGAATAATTAAATGTGCATTAGCGTTCCGAAAATGTAGCATGCTGCACGAATAGTTTAGGCACTTGCAAGCTTTTTTTTTTAAATTATACATTTTGTTTTTTCAAATAATTTTCATAAGTAATATAGGCGAAATTCGTTTCAACTATTATTTGAAAACTATTTTATGGTATTAAAAATTTCTATTTAACGGAAATACTTCAATGTCCGATATTAAAGCTTGACTCTCAGGTTTGATTTGGGAAAAATTCCTTTCGAAATTCACTACAAAAAGACATTTTCGAACATATTTTAGGTTTTTAAATAATTTGAAAACAACTTTTGTGGTTTGAAAAGAACTGTTGTGTTTTTGAAAATAACTTTTATGTTTTCGAAAAAAACTTTTGTGTTTATGAAAAAAAATTTCGTGGTTTTGCAAACACCTTTTATGTTTTTGAAACAACTTTTGTGTTTTTGAAACAACTTTTGTGTTTTTGAAACAACTTTTATGTTTTTGAAAACAACTTTTATGGTTTTGTTGTTATAGCAGCATATATTTTGCGAAAGTGATTACAAGTATTTTAATTTGAAAATATTACTTCGGTCGGACTTCTGTGTTTGTTTTAATTTAAATAAATTTTTATGAATTTGACTGTTGAGTTTCGCGTTTAGCCTGCACATTGCCACTTAATAATTTGCCTTGTACCGAAATATGTAGTAAATATTGAGATTTCTGTAGTTTATAAACTGCTTAAAAATCGTTGCATAGTTTGAGGATGTTAGCATGCAAGCAATTGAACGCTGAGAAAAACATAAATAAAGTTAAAAAAGAAGCTCGAAAATAATGATTTCAATTTTCTAAGCACAGAAATTCTAAAATTAAGAGCGGAGCAATGCAATGCTCGAAAATATTTATTTCACCTAAAAACTTTAAAAATCTTTGCAGATTTCTAGGGTGCGCTATACATTTTTTTGAAAACCGTTGGAAAGTTTTGTACACAAAAAATATTTTTACGAAAGTTTGAATTTTTAGTTATGAAACTGATTATTATTCGAAACTATTGTTTCTAAATGTAATTTTTTTTTACTGATATTAAACGTTTTTTAGTATCTGAGTTTTATTTATATACCAAAAATTTTAACTGCAGCAATATATTAAGTTTGTTTGTTTGTTCGTTTGTCTGTGGGAATTTTATGCATGCGAAAATTGATCACTGAGACTTGATTTTAATTTTTTTGAGATTAGGCTAGAGCTTAATTTTTTAAAATATTTAATATATTTGAGATTTTATAAAAACTAAAAAAACACTTTTTTAAGTGTACAAAAAAATTTTACTTCTCCTAATTATTGTTATTCCGAGCACATTTTGTAAACAGAGTTGATTTTTTTTTGCTTTCATCTGAAAATTATGCAACAGTTCAGAAATTTCTTTGCATTTTGAATACTGGCATATACGTAAATATGTAAGCCTTATTTTTCGTATGAGAACTTCATTTTTGTTTTAAACGAGGTTTTAAAATGCTTTATCAGGCCTACATTAATTGCTATTTGGCTGCTAAGTCACTATACTGATTCTTGTTATTCCTTTTTATAGTTAATTTGTATTGCTAACGTGAGCTAATGCATAATAGAAGAAAGCAATGCAAAGTGCTGCGAATTAGAGAGTAATTTCAATGGCTGCTGACTAAAAAAAAAGTAAATGAAAAGAAAAAAAATTAAATATAGAAAAAATAATTAAAAATGTTGCATGTAAAGCAATGATGTGGTTGAAGATGCTGAAAAAAAAATTAAAAAAATGTGGTCAATAAAAAATTTGTAAGAAAACAAGCTGTTACAGTTATGTGTGCATGCGGAGGTAGTGGCAGTTAATGTTAAGACGCAACTGAAAGGTTTTTTAATATTAGCATTAAAGATAAATTAATGAAAAAATGAGAAAAAATTAATAAAAATAAAAAATAAATTTAAAACGCAAAACGAACAACTATATAAAATATTGTGACATTTTAGCAAAGCATGTTGGCGTAAGTTGGCAAAAAATCACAACACACATACAAAATTTGAAAGAAAATAGATAAATATAAAAAAAAAGTATTTAAGACATGCCAAGTAATTATGTAATTGCAATTGAACTGTATGTTTGTAGCGAGCAAGCGGCAACACTAAAAAAATAAAACAAAAAACAAAAAATTAGCGCGAGTAAAGAAAATTATGTGAAAAATAAAATAGAGTTTTCAAAATACTTTACTTTTTAAAACACCACATTCACTCACATACACACATACGATGGTACTTTAGTCTAGATTTATTGCTAAATAAATGAAAAAATAAAAATAATATAAATGAACAACAAATTAATTAAATAAAACTATGTATTGTACTACAACTACGACTACAGCAAAACTACTATTATTACTAAATATTAATATATAAGCAAGAAAGTAAATTCTAAAACAATTAAAAAAACGTAAATATTATTATACATACATATATGATGTTAATTGAAATTTCTGCTGCAATATTACATAAAGCGCATGTGTGCAGCGGCAGTCGATTGTTCGGAAATAATTATTGTTATTACAAAAAAATTAATAACGTTAATTATGTGCAAAGTTTATTTGAATTTTGGTTATATTAGTAACTTTATGTTGCCGAATTACAAACACTGCAGGTTCGAGATTTACGAAAATTTTTCAAATACGATAATGTATTATGTTCTTGTTGTAAAAACTAATACAACTTCTTACTGTCTTTCAGACAGCGCTTAAATTTTGTACACTGAGTGGTTCGAGATTTTCGAAAAATATTCAAATACACTTATTACTTATATTAAGCTGTTGTTGTTATATTAGGATAGTTATTTTGAAGACGCTTCCAAGGTTTATCTGTCCAAAAATGCGCGAATTTGTATACAAAAACAACAATATAATGTAAAAAATGTACTCCGTTAGACAACTTTCCAAAACTTTCGAACACATTTTCTAGTAAAATTTTAATTTTTTCATTGTTTTATCAACAATTATTCAAGCACTTTTTGCGAGTTAAAATTTTATTTAATTTTATGCAATATTTTTCCAACGATTATTCGAAACTCAAACTCGAAAATCAACAAAGTTACTTAAATTAAAAGATTTGCTGCAGTACACATGCGCTGATTATTAAAAAATTGTTTTCGTTATCGTGTTTTCTTGTTTATCTGTTTGAAATCAGTAGTAGTAAAAATAAGAAATTGTAAATTCGAAAAAGTATATTTCTAAACTGCTGTTGAAAAACGACTGCGTTTTTTTCAAAAATTATATAAATTATTTCAATATTCTCATATGCACTATATGTAAGTATTGAAAATGCAATTCGAAACGAAATTTTCGAACTTCGAAAAACATTCCAAAATTTCGATTTTCGAAAAACATTCCAACTGTACTTAAAGTGACGTTATTTTATATATTTATCTAAATTTCGCTCCCAAATAAATAGTATTTTTTTAAACAAATTTTATGTTACACGTAAATTACATACACACATACATCCACACATGCAATGTTATGAATATAATTTAATTAAGTAGTAGTGATTTAAGCGTAAAATTAATATAAATCATGAATATTCTAAAAGAAGCAACACCCTTAATATTATTATTATTATTATTACTTGAAACAAGATGAACAAAGTAAAAATAACAAAAACAAAAAAAAAACCATAAAACTGAATGATAAACAAAACTTGAAATCAAAGTTTAGCGCGCAGTGCAAAGGCAACTTTTAATGTTTCGATTAAGCTAAGACATAAAAAATACATAATTACAATTACATACATACTCTTATGCAAACAACTCGATAATTAAGTTCGAAAAATAATTCTAAAACCGAAAATAGTTAAAGTAAAAGGTGCATTCCAACACTCACATACATACATACATGCATATTTTTTTTTTTTGGTTAAACAATGTGTTTGTGTTTGTGGGACCATACTACTTACAGGATGAAAAAATTTGTGAGCACCGATTGTCAACATTATTATTTGAGACTTTTGCCAGCGGAAGGAGGTGAAATCGAAATGTAATAATGTCACATTTATGCAAGTCATAGATATACTCGTATATATGTATGTGTAGGGGAGGTGTGTAACTTAAAAAATATTTAACTTCTATATAAGGGTTAAGTGCTTTTAAGCTTGATTTTTTTATTTAAAATTTTCAACTTTTTTGTAAGTTTGAATATTCGAATTTTATATAATTTTTATAACACTTTGATTAATAAAGAAGTTGTTGCTGTAAAATTTATATAAATATATTTGTACATAACCGCTTTATTCAAATTAAGTTTTATATTATTTTGCGGATGCATTTTATTTTAAAAAAATTTCGAAGTTAAAAAATATTTCGAAATTAATAACGCTTAAACATTTAACGATGTTCCGAAATAAATTTTTTTAAAAGTAAAATTTCGAAATAAAAAAAATCGACATAAAAATAGAAATGGCAATTAGAAAAAGGCGTTATTTAAAACAAAATTGAAATAAAATTTTTTTTTCAAAATTAAAAAAAATCCCAAAAAAATATTATATATACTAACCTCCAATCCAGTAAAAACCAAATTTCGCAATAAGAAACAGTTACCTAAACATCAAATTCATCTTTTTAAAATACCTTTTAATATAATTTTAAATACGTAACCCCCCTCCCGTGCTCATATATGACTTACATAAATGCGGTTTTAGTTAAGGCTAAGTTAAAAAGTTACACAAAAAAATTATATACCGAGTCTCAACTCATGCAAAATAAATATTTGTTATGCACAAAAAAATATTTGTTTATAAAACTAAATAGTATTAAAATTAAAAAATGTAATTTTATTAAACAAAAAATCGGACTTTGACTATAAAGGAGCGGTGTGTATGGAATTAAGCCGGAGATAAAAAAATCTTGTCTGCTAGGTGGATACTCATAACTCTGTGTTGTGAAATATCAGTTTTCAAATAAATCCAACTTCAAATCAATAAATTTCAACTGGGAATTTATAAAGTTTTTGAAATAATTTTAAATTCAATAATTTCTAACTTGGCTTGCGTAGCCTACTTTCAAAATAAGTTCTTGCAGATTTTTTGACAGGATGAAAGGATTTCGCAAAACAGGTAAGATTTTTGATAATTGGCTATAATTTCGGTTCTTTCATATGGACATAATTCGTTTACGTTTTTGTTCTGCGACTAAAACATATTTTATGGACAAAATGTTTTCGAAATCGGAGAAGAAAAAGTTGAACTTCTGTACTATTTCGAACATGAAAAGTTGACTTATGATAGGTTCTGAACATTTCTAAGTAAAACTTGTGCATTCGTCTTATTCGCATATCACCAGCGCTCCGAATGTCCGAAAGTTTCGAAAATTTTGTTTTATATTCGAACATTAACGAATATTTTCGAACGAATATAACGAATTTTAAAATTTGTATTTTCGATTATTAACGAATGTAAGAGCAAATATTTTAATTTTTTTTCGAATTTTCGGACATAGAAAGCTGATTTATTATATGTTGTATACTTGTGTATGCGCAGTAGTTGTATTCTAAAATAATGTTTGTTCCAATATTTTTAGGACAAGTTATTTTTAAATAACAAATAAAATAAATTTCTAAAATTCCGGTTTTTTGAAAACAAATTTTTTTCGAAAAAATTATTTTTGTTCAAAAATTTCTAATGATGCGTTTATTCGAATTTTTTTCCAAATTATTTTTAATTTCGAATTCTAACAAATAATGTAAAATTTTGATATAAGACTACAGTAAAAAAGTGTTCAATATTTTCTAAGGGCTTGTAATTTCAAAATCCCGAAATTTTCAAACTTTGCGGTATTTTCAAAATACCACTGATTTTCAGTTTCATATTATTGTAAAGCAGTTCCAACACGCCGCTTACACATTTTGCAACACAGTAATGATTTTGTTTTAAAAATAAATATTCAAAATTGTTTGACTTTTTCGTAAATGATTTAAAAAAAGATTAAACTTTTATTACTGTCTAAAAAAACGAATTATCTCGAAACTAACCGCTATTATTTCCTTAAATATCTATGTATGTGTTTAACTAAGTTCGCATTTCTCATACTCGTACTTTTTGCACACACTATTTACCTGATGTACTCACACGTCCGCTGCTAACATGCCTTCGAATTTTAATTAAATTAAATTTATGTAACTGTGAATTGAAACATACACGCATATTTGTATGTGATGGTATATTCATTTTCTGTTTTCACTATTATTTTTAATAATATTTTTATATAGTGTTATTGTATTAGTTAAGAAAAATTATTAAATTATATACCTACGATTAAATATATACTTAAAAGACCACGACACACACTTCGAAAATTATATATACATTCAAGCATACAATTCTTAAATATAAAAAAAAAAATATACATATATATATATATATATATAGAGGAAGAGTATCAACAAAATAGTAAAGGTCTTTATTTGTATTGATATGAAATTTTCGATTTGGCAAAAACAAAAGCGAAAGCGAATACGAGAAAGCAAAGCATATAATATAATATTTAAAATGATAATGGCGGACCACTAACGAGGTTGAGAACTAATTATACATACTTACATACATAAATTAAACGAAAATAAAAATCACGAAAAAAATTTAAAAATATTATAAAGCTGTTTCGCTTGTTTTGGCAGGGGGCGGGGATAAAGGTTTTAATAATAATAACATTTCTAAATAAAAAATATAGTGGGTTTGCGCACATGTCATTTTTAAAGGTCTTGTGTCACAGAAATAATTCAGCGAGGGTGTTATTTTTAGAAAATTTCTATTTAAGTTCTTTGTTTAGTACTGCGTCATATATAAATCTGGTACTTTACGTATTCGAGACCCAATTGCCTTTAAAGCGAATTATATAAGGATGACTGACTATGACGGCTTTTTATATTACTTACGCAGTCCTAAATAAAAAATAAAAACAACTATTATTTTACAGCGAAAGGTAAAATTTGAGTAGTTCGAATAATTAATATTGGGCTTTATCTCCATTGCGAAATAATTTCGAACTATAAGGCCACTTGGGTGTTTTAATAGGTCACTGAGCCATGACGTAATTGTTATACTATTCTCGTATTTAAACTTATAGAAAGTGGGTCTCACTAACTATGTTATATGTGTAATTATTACAAATAAAATCACTATTCCATTTCTTTCATTATTTATTTATCAATTCGATATTTCAATTAAAACTCATTAAATTTTTAGCACAAAACTAGCACTACGCTATCACATCACTTTATTTATACTTAAACAACAATTCACAGCGTTTGCCACTTCGAACCTCTCATATATTAAGTGGTTGATAAAATCGAGAAGGGCTCCTGCATGACTTCTATGATCTTAGCCTCAGGTATCACTTCACCATTCGCCAGTAGAGTGTGCGTCAAGCCATCCAATTTATTGCCACTCGAACGTGCTTGCAGCACAAACTCATTGCCATTCTCTGTAAACTTGGTGTCCGTGCCGCCATCAACGAATTCACCCTGCGAGTTCAAATAAATTATGTTTAAGTATATAATCAAAGACTTCAACCGCGATTTAGCGAGCACTCACTGTTTCTGTGCGCAACTGATCATTCACATACAAGTTGATCGTATCCAATTCTAACATTATACGGTATTCATTATCTTCTATACTGACCAACCACAGGCGATAATATTTCGTCAGTTCGTCGGTATACTGTTCGTGCGGTTTGCCATCGATGTAGAGTGAATATTCATATCTGAAACCTGGTGCTGGATCGACACGTATAATGCAACGCGCCTGATCGATATAAAATGAATCTTCGCCGACCAATTTGAACATCCAATCACGACGCAGCACTTCCTGGTAATATGGTGGGAAAGTGAAAGCCTAAATTAATATTTTTATTAACAAAATAAACCATTTCCTTTTTTATGAAAGAAGAAGGCACTGCTCCTTTGATGCACGCACTTTGTCTCTCTCTCTTACGCTCAAACGTAAGCATTCCAGCTAGAGAGGCAGAGCGCTTAAATTTAGCCAATAAACGCGCTTTATTTCTCTTTATTTTCAAAAATATTTGAGAATATTAATTTTTATGTTATTCAATTCTATTGAGAACTAATTTTTACCACATATTTTTTTTTTTTTGCATTTTTATTTGGAAAATCTCTGGTTCTTATATATTTTACCTTCGTTTTACTTACCTTACCGTTTACCCATATCATTCGCCGTCCTGTGGTGGTACCATGTTCCAATTCAATACGATACATTTTGCCATTTATCGGCGCACACCATTTGGCCACAATATTGTTTTTGTTGTAACGTTTTTCTTCCGGTATATGATCGAGCGACATAATGGGTTCGTTTGGGAGATTCTCTAAGCGCAGGGATGGCGATAGGAAAGACATTGTTTGCAAGGACCTTAAGTTTTAATGCTGATAAAAATCTGGAATATGTTAAAATCAATGTGTTTTAAGCAATCAATATTTAAACTTAGAATATATATTAGATAGATCAAAAATATATATATTTAATTTAACTGCAACATCCACTGTTTGATTTTTTGATATAAAAAAGGTTTTTTGAATGTTGATGGATTGATTCACTACATAATCGATTTTTGGAATCTCATTTGCCTTTTTATAAATTTTGTATCAGCGCTTAAATGTAGGCAATATGTTTTTCTTGGTGGTGTAATTATTTTTCCCTATTTCTAAATATACATATGTATTTGTTTTCCACGGGTACGATAAAAGCTTTGCTAATACTCAGCACATATAGTGGTGGAAGCATAGATATCAAGCAATATGATGTGAAAAATGTTATGAAGTCTTAAAACTTATGCATGTTTTTAGTCTTGCAACATGTTGCTACAGGGTTATTTTAACTTTTAATATTGATATAAACATTTTTCAATATTTTGTTTTATTCACAACCAAATTTATCAAAATTTTCAAATTTGAAAGCACGTCTTAAAGGTTTAAATTATTAATTCACTGTTTATTGTAATTCTATATTCAATATTTTAAGAATCAAATCGAAGTTTGCATATTTTAAAAATAATAAATTTTTTAAAATTATATTTTCAAATTGGAAAATTTTAATTTCCGAAACTGCTTTCAATTTAATGCAATAATTCAAAATTTTCCAAATAAATATTTCGAAAACTTTGTATTTTAAAAATTTGAAACCTTATTCATTATTAATATTAAAATTTATAATTCCGAAAAAAAATTTTTTAAATAAAATATTTGAAAAATTCTTAAATCTTGAATATTCGAATAAATTTTGAATAAATCTCAAAACTTTTGTAAAAAATAGATTTCAAAAAGTTTTAAAAACTTGTTTAATTTTTCAAAATTATGAAATAGTTCAAAATTTTAAAAACTCCAAATACGAAAACTGCATATTTTAAATTTTGCAAAATTTTTTAAAACAATGAAATAGTTTAATATTTTAAAAAATCCAAATTGAAATCTTTTAACTTGATAAAATATATCAAAATTAAAAAAAAATAAAATTCGAAAACTACATATTTTAAACATATTAAAACTTGAATTAATAGTTTTCAAAAAATTATTAATAACTTTAATATTGGAATTTTTTGTTAATATATTTGAACTTTTTTTTTTAATTTTAGTAAACAAATAAACTTAAGAAAGTCCAAAATGTTTTTTTTAATAAAATAATTAATTTAGAAAACATTTTAATCAATTATTTTCAAGTTGCTGCAGACGACTTATTATTCTACAGAGTTATGTGCGCCCAAAAGTAGATTAGTCGATTTGAAAATCATTGATTTAAGTGATGTTGAGCAACTTTTCGTTAAAACTTTTGCAAAACATAATAAAATATGTACATTTGTTGACATAAAAGCAAATTGCGCAGATAAACTAACCAAAAATGAAAATGTTATTAGCTATTTAATAGCACATACACGCTCATTTGCATATTTTTGCAAGCATTTTTCGTGATACACAATTTCATTAACATTTAACGGTTTTAAATGTCCGTTGCTAATTCGGGCAGCCATTTGCTATTAAAAATTTTAATGCCTAAAAATCCGCTTCAGCATTCATAAATGTCGTAAAAATTTATAATCGCGAGCGTGATAAAATTTTGCTGCCACGAACGTTTTACTATCAGCTTCCCAACGGTGCTGAAAGCTATTTGCTGTCTGTCGGTTAATCAAAATTTAGCTTTGTAATGTTTTCTTGCAGTTTCAGACGAAAACCCACAAGCATAAAGCTGTTTCACGATAATCCTTTATACTTTTCAGCATGTGTGTATGTGTGTCTGAGGATAAATATGTACATATACATATATATTCATGTGTTTGTGTATGAGTTTCTGCGAATGCACAGTAATTGCATACGAACCACACAAATAGCTATAAAATCAATAGATGGCAATACTCGTACTGGCGAAAAGAAATTAAACAATAACAAAAACAATAACAAAACAGCATAAAGCTAAATTATACATATCGAGATAATTAAATGATTAAGCAAACATGTGTACTTGGTATATTCATATGTGTATTAAAAGCATACGAAGACACGTCAAATCTGATGAGTATGTGTGTGCATGTGGCGAAAACATACTGCTGTTTTATAAATATCTAGTGAAAAGAAACGCTAAGGTTAAGGCGAGCTGCTGACACTTTTCATGGCTCATTGGCAAATATTGAATTTGTAGGTATGTGAAAATTAATTTTCGATAAAAAAAATATTTTTCTTCGCATTTTATTTCAATTCATTTATAAGTTATTGTTATTATACCAATATTTTTTATTGGTTCGTGGAAAAATTTTGATACTAAAAATTATTTAAAACAATTAATACTACATTAAAAGAAGAAAATTGTATAAAATCAGATTCATGGTATTCCTTATTCAAAAATAAATTTAAAAAAAAAATTTATAAAAAAAACTTAAGTTCAAAAATTTTTTACTTTTATTTTATTTACATCTGTAATTAATTAGGGTTGTTTTAAGCTAAATTAAATTAATTAAAATAAACTAAAAAATTATTTCAAAATATTGTAATTTATTTAATTTAGTACGGAATTTTAATTATTAATTTTTAAAACGTTAAGATTTTATTTGATCCATTCAAATTTGAAAATAAAATTTAAAAAATACTTTAATTTACTTTTGAAATTTATATTTTTTTAAATTAATTAATTTATTTTTCTTAAAGAAGTAAATTTTTGTTATTAATTTTGCAAAAATTAGTATTTTATTGAATTGATCCAAATTAAAAAAAAAATATTTAATTGAAAATTTATTGTTTTATATTTTTTATGCCAGAAATTTTAATTCATTAAAATAAAATTAGACAAATTATTATTAGTTTTTGTTTAAGTAAAAGTATTTTAATTAATGCATTAATTTTGCAAAAACCAAATTTTATTTTACATATAATTGTGCTTTTACCAAAATTTTTTGTTTATTTTTTAATTGTAATTTAAAATTTTTTTTTAAATATATATATATTTTTTTTTGAATTATTTTCGAACTCTTTTGCTATAATATTTTTCTTTAATTTTTTATTATCTATATTTTACTCTAGAAAAGAGCTCAACTTATTTAAGCTTAAGCTTATTTGGATAATTGTGCTAGAGAAAGAAAACAAAAACTCTTTTGTAAATATTTTTTTAACATTATTTTTACAAATTATTTCCCAAGTAAAATTTGCATTAATTTCTGAATTATTTTCGTATACATTGTTTTTATTGTTTTAAATTATTGTTTTGATATTTTTATTTCTTTTTTTCAATTCAAATATTTGTATTTTATAAAAAATAAAATTGCGATTAGTTTATTTAAGTTAAATAAATTTTTTGTTAAAAATATATACCAAAAATTTCGAAACATTTTCCAAAATAATGAAATAGTTTCAAGTTTTAAAAAAAGCAAATTCAGACTGCTTTTTTAAAACCTTTCAATTTAATAAAATAGAACAAGATTAAAAAAATAAAATTTCGAAAACTCTATACTTTGAAAAATTTAATTTTTTTTCTAATTAAAATTTGATTTAAAGTCGAAAAAAAAATTATTAATAACTTTAATATTTTAATTTTTTGTAAACCTAATATTTAAACATTTTTTAAAACTTAAATATTCGAATAAACTTGAAAAAGTCTCAAATTTGCTTTTAAAAATCGAGTTTAAAAATTTCTAAATTTAGTTATAAATAAAAATTTTATTTAAAAGTATTTTTCAGAAACAAAATAGTTTAAAAAACATTTAAATTGATTTTTTCCAAGTTGCTTGTTTACGACTTATAATTTTACAGAGTTAATTTCTTCATTCACTTTATAATTATTATTCCAATTTTAATTACTTGATTTGGTTTTGTAATAGTAAAACTCCCCGTAAGCTTAATTTTATAATGTCTGTGTTTTATATATTATATATATATTACTTTTTGCACTAAAAATAAATGGAAAAAATAATTATTATGCTCACTGCAAATCTTAATTTCGCTTTTATAAAAAATCACAACTTTTAGCGCACTAAAATTTCAAATGCGCTCCATAAAAGAAATAAATTCACTTTGCTATTTATCCAACAAGGGGTAATGACTTTTAATTTCTTTCCGCCCAAAAAACGAAACTTTATTTCTTTCTTTATTCACGCGTTCGCTCCGAAAATACGAAACCGTTTCGTTGAGCCGTCCGTAACGTACTGAATGAATGGTCGTTGGTGAAAACATGTTAGCGCCTTACGGTATGCAACAGCCAACACATATGCACGTACATACACACACACACAGATACATATGTCCGCTAATAAACTAGTATTCGCGCTGAACTCGTTGTCGCCGCCGTCAACAACGCCATGGAACCGCTATTCCTGTCGTTGCCTTGCATCGACCACGCTAATGGTGGCATTGGCACAATGAAAAGTGGGCGCCCAACGGCTGCAGCCAACCGGCAAGCTTTGATACTGCTCGCCAACACATATGCTGGCAGACAAACACACTCTACACACTGTAAAGCAGACAGCGGTGTTGGTACAACTACTAATACTACTACAACTTTACTAGGAGTATCATTGTCAGACAGCCATGTTTTTATTGTAATTTGCACCCATTTGGTAAATAATCATTTTTTTTTCGAGTTGACCTAGAGACTATAACTCGATAGAAATGGATACATCCCGTAGCATAGTGGAATTGCAGGAGCCTAGTCTCCTTTTGAAATAATACTTACTCTTTAAATTATCTGTTACGGTTTGGAATAAACCATATACGGCTGATGTTAATGTTTTCTCTCTGAGCAGCAGTTCGTTTTCAATAGCATGGTAGAAGGAAGAAGGAGGAAGGATTAGTTTTTATAAAGGGTACTGAAGACTTATTGGGGTCTTACTCTGAAAGCCTCTGTGCTTACGACGGGCGAAATAATTACTAAGTAGGAGATGACAGAGAGAGAGAGAGACTTAATACACTCTCCGTGGAAAAGTCCATAGATATCATCAATTCAAGTCCATACTGTCGCGTTTCAACTATTAAATAGAAGAGATATTCAATAGAAGAGAGAGGATCCAAGGTTGATTTTGTTGATTTTCAGAGTCTCGAAACGATCAGCTGCTCTTGACGCTCTCAAAGTAAATAATTTTTTCTTATAAAACACTAAAAAAACGAGAGTAAGAAGAGAATGTATAAACATTTCTACCAGTTGGAAGTAGGTCGCTTGCGGGAGGTCGGATTGGCTGATTTCTAGTCTGCCTGATCATTTTGTAGTTCAGGCTGAGCTCACAAAGCGAAAAATAGTATATATTTTATCTCCGAGTCGACAGCTTCGGGTAATATTTTAAGACAATAGCAGCTCAAGGATATCTCAAGTGAATTCTATTATATGATTGATCTATCTGGGCCATCTTTGAACTGGATCTGGTGAACAAGTTCGCTAGCACCAAGATATATTTTTTTTGCTATTTTTCAGTACGAAGGCTAAAAGTTCTAGGTAATGTTCGCTGGATACATATTTTGACCGATTAACATGCAAAAAACTCGGGCTTGCTGAATTATTTTACAGCTGATGCAGTCGAACCAGTTTACCAAGGACACATAGATAAAAAAATGTTTGCTTTTTTAGTTCTAGTTAGCTTCAGCTCATAAAATTATACAATAGTTTAGAGGTTTTCGAAAACTGTAACCGAAAAGTCGCGGCTATATTACAACTATTTTTAAAAAAGTGGGTTTTAGTTGAGGTAAGACAAGAATAGCTGCTGAGCTTCCGATTCAGTGCGTCATTCCATTTGGGTTTCATTTTTCGTTTTCCAACACAAGCATACATTAAGGCGCATAGCCTTATACCGGCTATCACTCATATGTTCACATATGTACATGTGTGAGTACAAATACAAATACCAAATATGTGCATATACATAAATATATATATATATTAAATGGCTTTAGTAGTGGCATGAGTATTTATTGCCCTCAATTGGCGCGCAACTTTAACTGTCTTTTCAACGCGACACACAAGCACACACACACATATATATACATATATATAACATACCAATTGTTCTTGCTGGTTTCCTTCATATTTTGGCTCCTGGCTCTTATGGTTCATTTGTTTATTTATCCACTTGCTGGTTTGTTTGTCTGTTTGTTTTCGGACAGGTTTTGATGTAGGCGCGCAACGACTGGCCTCTTTGTGGCTGCTACACACACATACATACATACACTATATGTGCATACTTTTCTACACACAAAAAAAAATGAAAAAAAGAAGGCTATAAGTTGGCCTGCAAGGTTTTTTCACCGAAGTGTTGAGTTCAAATTGTATTTATATAATAGTTGGTTGCAATGGCTTACCTTATAATTCGGCTATTACAGCGGCGAATTCGTTATATTTATATTTTGGGGCGTTCAGCAGTTCAAAAAAGAAAAAAAATGTGGCAAACTAGGCTCATGGAAGGTTGGAAGTGGCAAAAGTTATGCACTGCAGCTCGATATTTTGCAACAAATTGCTTAAGCGTCTTGAGTTGAGTTGAGGAAATGTGGCATTTTAGAGTCAGACGTGCTGACGCCTATTGGAAAATCGAGGCTGAAAGTTTGGTGAGCAAAAAATCACTTACTTGTATGTGAGATGTGAAGACTAAGAAAAATAATAACTCGTCCTTAACTTAGTAGCTGATATTCGAGATGGGACTCTACAGCCGAACAGTAGTACAAAAAAGTTCGATCAGTTGAAACAAGTTATTCTGAAGACTAGATGTTACCAACTATTTTATTATTAATTGTATAACTTTTATTTCGAATAACCAGAATATCTTGAGACGATTTAGTTCTTAATGTATTATTGCAGACTACTATGCATAATAAATAATAGCTCAACCTTCGCAAGCACTCACGAATCTCACTTGCTAGCTATTGAGCTAAGTGCGTTCTATACCTTCATTAATAGAAAAGAAGAAGAAAAAGAAAATATTCCGGTAACTTCGGCAGATATCCCTGACATCTACCTTCCTTTTCTTTACCTACAACCCCAGAAGTAATGCTCATCATGTCACTTAAACCTGGTCCCGGAATCAAATTTTTTGATTTTGACTTCGGAGTTCAGAAAATGGAGTAGAAGGACTTCCGTTACAAAGGTTCTGCAAAGTGGCTAGTGTTGTATATGAAATCATTACGTGCTGGCTAAACATTGATATAATTGTCCTCAAGCCTGAGTAAGAGGTAGTTTAACCTTATATTATATCCAGAACTCATTTGTAAGAATTACATGGACCTCATAAGACCTCGGCAAAAGCTCTTTTAATTTGTCTAGCGTTCTGACTTCTTCCAAAGATTATACGGGCCGCACAAAACCTCATTGAAACGTTTTGTACCTTGCCAGACGTTCTGAGTTCTTGAAAGGCTGTTGTCTTGCTCTCTATTAAATATTTGGAAACAAGTCCTTTATAAGACATTGCGTCTCATATACTTGTATTGGTAACGCTCACAGTGGCCAGAGGTTTGTGCTAAATTTTCGTATATATATTGAACTTACGTGCTCGGTCTGAAGCTACTAGCACTAATGGAATTTTCAGCAGATGTTTATGTTGTGTCAGCAATAAATTTATTATTTTTTAGTATTTCAAGTACCTAAGCTTTTCGTCAAACTTGATAACTTTTGTCTGGTTTAAGGCAGATGGCGCTCTAATCCACTGTTTCTAACTCGTCTCCAACGACATAGAGGCAACTAAATTTTTGAATTCACGTGCTTTTTGAATCAACATAATCAATACAAAAGCAAATTTCGGACAAGTGAGTTGGCAAAGGGTTCTTCATTAGTCCTTTAATATACAATATATAATTCAAAAGTTTAGAAACACCGAGAGGATGCGGTACAAAATGGAGTTCACAGGGTGATTTCGACAAAAAGTACAATGATCTTGCAAAAGATGCCTAATAAAGACATTGTAACCTAAATTAGTAAAATCTAGATTTCTGCTCGGCATCGGCATTATAAATTTAGATGACAGATAACTGTGTAAACGTCTTTAGGGAAGCTCGAAGAAAAGTTTGTGTATATTAACTGGAAGCGAGGTCGTCTTGGGATTTTCTGCATGTAATGCAAGCCTTTATCGACTTTACGAAGACAGATATGCCTTCTTTTTAACCAAAGCTAGTATAGTTTAAAGCTCAGCTTTGAAGGAACTACTATTTCTTGAAAGATAACTCATTTATTTTTGAAAAGCTGTGAATTCTATTTATTTCAAGCATTTTTTAGAACAGCTGTTATATTTCAATTCAATAATTCTACGATGGCCAATGACATGTTGAAGTTCACACGCATACTTCAAATGTCAAAAGGAACCTTTGCTGTCAGCAAATTTATTGCGCTTCATTAGCAATTCAAATATGCAAGAAAAACCGAGTGTGATCAACTTTAAAGCATACACACACACAGATATACACACATGTAATAATTTCCACAAAGATTAAATGGGGCAAAGCATACATGTTAGTATGCCAAATGAGCTGAAAAGTATGCAATAAAAGCAGGAAGAACTTAATGACAATGAAAACAACAAAGCGTCTGAAGGCCACGACAGCGCTTGCAAGCACAACTACACCCATTGTAAATGCACCTACTGGCAATATTGTTTATTGCTTATGCGTGTGTGTGTGTGTGCATTGGTGCGCCTCAAAATGTTTATTTATTTCGCTACAACTGCAAATAATGACATCATGAAATGTTGTTTTTTATTGTTTTTGTTGCACATATTGAAATATTCACGTAGGAATCGAAACAACCGTCGCCAGTTGGCGCGCTGACACCACAAAAAACGGGCGATATTTGCATTAGCAAATGGCAAGAGGGCGGTGACCGGTGCTGGCGTGGTGGGCATGGTGGTAAGCGTGGGCACTGAGTGGCAAGTTGCGTATAATTCATAACTTTTTGCAATTTATTCGCAGTGAAAGTTTAATTTGTTAGTAAGTAAGTAAGTAAGTAAGTAATAGCGAGTATAATTGCCACACATTGTGTGGGTGTAAGCGAAAGTAAATTGTGTGTGTACAGGGTGTGCGCGGAAGTGCGCGACAGGCAATGGCAAATTGGCGCGAACTGATTGTGTAAATTGCAAGGATTTGTGGCATGAGAAAGAAAGCGAGCGAAAAATTGTTGGGAAAAGTTGCTCAATTTGCCATTTGGCGCTGAGAATACCGTTAGTTGGAAAGTAAGTTTTTCATTCGGTGCAATTTCGCAGCAAATTCTTTTTATGTTGCACGCAAATGTTATGAATTTAAATTTTGCATTAATGACTGCCACTTGTGTAACAGATTGTATCGACAAATTGTTGCAGCTTTAAATTTTGTAAAAGTTTGGCTAATGTTTGACGCATGCTGTTGGATATTTTAGGTTATGTGTGTGAGGTTAAAAAATATGTATGAACGAACATAACCTCACAAAATATTATAATTTAATTATTTTTATTTGTTATGTGGCCTTCATATAGTAGAGCCT